TCAGAACTAAATATTATTCAAATGTATTATACCTCAAAAGATAGAGCGTCAAAAACTGCATAAGATGATGTATTTGAAATTTGATTATGATCGAATTTTGAGGGACGTTTCTTCAAAAGAAAGTTTTGGAAAGTGTTTTAATAATAAACTTGAAGTTTATTATGAACAAAAAAATTATGATCAAGCAGAAAATTATTATGAACGTTCAGAAAATAAATTTAATCATTATATAATGAAAATAACATATGATGCTTTAGAAAAAGAATTAATAAAAGCTGATTTATTTATTAATTATAGTTATTTATTACATGCAAAAAATAAACAATGATGGTAATGATAAACAAAATGATGCATTAAAAATATATGAAAAAATTTTAACAGATAACAATCCAAAATTAATGCAAATACGTTTAGAAATTATAGCTGAAAATACATTTTATCAATTTTTTTATTTTAAAACAGAATATTATGAAGATGAAAAATTTCAAAAAATAATTAAAAATTATGAACAAAATTTATTTGAATCAAATAAAATTACAAGTCAATTTAATTGGACACAATTATTTTATACAATTGGTGCTTATTATATTCATCAAAATTTATATCATAAAGGAATTAATTTATGGATAAAAGCAATTAAAAGTAAAAAATTATTTTATTTAGATCCATTACTTGCACCATCAACAAAAATTTCTATATTTAATATTACAATAGAAATTATTGATCAAGCATTTCAAATTGCATTTAATTATTATAAAAAACATTTAGAAAAAAATATTTATTTTAATTAGGTCTAATTTGTTCAGAATTATGTATGTACGATGATGCCATTGAATATTTATTAAAAACGGATGAAAGTCATGAAATGAAAAATCTTTTATTAGCTGATTCATACAAAGCAAAAAACATGCATGAAGAAGCTTCAATATATTATCAAAAATTATATGATAAAAAGAAAGAATTGGATCCATTTCAACTTGCTCTTATTCTTTCGACACCACATAATGATGAATTATTAAACGACCATCAAATGTTCTTATTACAAGAATCTACAGAGAATCAATCAAAGATTATGTTAACATTTTTACTTGATAAAATTGCGCAACATTATTTTGAAAAAAACAATTATAAACAAGCGCGTTTATCTAGTCGAGATTCTATTTATTTAAAATCACAATATATTTCACAATATAATCCTTAACTTATCAAAAATTATCAATTAATTTCACAATCCTATATAAAAAAAGAAA